CAGACAGACAGACAGACACACACAGACACACACTCTCACACACACAGACACACAGAGAGACACACATAAACATACTTTCACACACACACACACACACACACACACACACACACACACACTCTCTCTCTCTCAAACACACACACACACACACACACACACACACACACACACACACACACACACACACACACACACACACACACACACACACACACACACACACACACACACACACACAGCATGACATACAAAAAGCTGTAGAAAAATACTCTTAAAAAACACAGGAAAAAAACCCACTGGAATGTTCTGGATGTCCGACAGACATCAGCGTGGAGGAAACACCGGCAACTTGTTGGGCAACAATCAAATGTTATGTTAAAGTGAACGGAAAAAAATGAAATAAATTCAAAATAATTCATAATCAAATGTAAAAAATATTCAGAAATTTGTAAACAATGTTGGAAAAATTCCCGAAAGATAATTGAAAAATATATGTGAATAAATATCCATAATTATGTGTTATCCGGCCTGTTAGTATGGAACATGGAACATTCCCCCAAAAATGGGAATAAATGGAAGTAAATGTGAAAACTCCATAAATGTTTACATTTAGTTAAAAAGTACGAAGAGCTAAAAGTTGCCTTACAAGTTGCCGGTGTGTGTAGAAGCAAATTAATGTCTGTCACACACACACACACACACACACACACACACACACACACACACACACACACAAACAGTATGACACCTTACAGCTAACATATTTTTTTTACTGCTAAGTCTACGTACAGGCACTATAGAGTGAAGCATTGTGGGAAGTTGAGTTTCAACTGGTCTGTTTTAAGATAGCAGCTTTTCAGTCAGCGTTTAAAGTCTGAACTGTGATTTAAAGATTTAAACACTCAAAGCAGACGATCGGACAATGGAAATAAAGTGTGTGTTTACGTAGATCACACACACACACTCACACACACACACACTCACACAACATTAATGTAATAACTACATCATCCTGTTTTCTTTAAATCAACAGGAAGTCTCTGAGTTAATCTGCCACTAAACTACGATTAAAATGTAGTGACGAGTTAAATGTATAAGAATTGTTATAACCATTGCTGAATACAAAAGGTTTCTTCACCCCTAATTATCATGAAATTAAAACCAGCAGCACATCCGGCTCTTAATTACCAGGACATTTTGTAATTTGTATGATTCAAAAAACAACATTTTCACAACAACAATTTTGCAAAAAAACAAACACATTTTTTAAATGTTGAAGTTTAAATACCGTGAGTTTATTTTACTTTAAAAATATTGTTCTGGATTTATGAGATGTTTTTGTTCTTTGAGAAATTCCAGTTGGTGGAAATGTAACTACATTTTTTGACACCATATTGTACGACTTAAAGATTATTATTGTTTCATATTTTTGCTAAACTTTTTGTATTTTCCGTTCCGGGAAAATTTAGAATTTTTTCAAATATTTGTATCTTTTGAAAAACTGGCAAGTCTTTAAAAAATAATTGGGGAATTTTCAAATGTGTCCCCCCTCAGATGCTCTATGCAGGCCTCTCTAAAAAACAATTATCCTTACATTTTTTTAAATATTGGAAACTAAACCTACATTCTAAATATTTGACGCTTCAAATCTAAAAAAAGTGGAATTCAATCCACATTTTTTTGGATGATTTTGGATGATCTTATGAATTAAGATATCTCAATGCTAAAAGCTAATTAAAAAGTCAGCGTTAGGTTTCCAGCAGCGGTTACACTTCATTAAAGGTTAAACAGATCCTCACAAACCCTGAAGAGATCAAATGTGTTTTTAGCGTTAAGTGTGGCGTCTACTTGTTAGCTAACTAGTTAGCATCACTAATAGGAGTTTACACTGCAGTTATAACCCAATATGTATACATGTTAATTTGAACTTGTTCATTCTCACCCTGTTGCTGTTAAACTACTGAATGTCCCCACGGGGATTAATAAAGGTCCATCTTATCTCATCTTATCTTAGTTAGCATGTGAGGCTAACAGTATAGATATAGGCACAGGTGTGTAGGTGTGTGTGTGTGTGTGTGTGTGTGTGTGTGTGTGTGTGTGTGTGTGTGTGTGTGTGTGTGTGTCAGTCGCTCAGGTAAGTGTGTGTGTAGATCTGCTGTTGGATCCAGGAGGTGAAGTGTGTGACGTTGCTGTAGACTCCGGGTCCGAGAACTTTACTGAAGCAGACGCTGCCCCAGGAGGTCAGACCGAAGAGCGTCCAGCGACCGGAGGCGTCTGAACACACCAGGGGGCCGCCGCTGTCTCCCTGAACACACACATTAAACACACACATTTCTTTAACTTAAATTAAACTTTTTTATATATTTCATATTTTGTTTTAAAGTCAAATGTATTGACTTTAAAAAAACGATTTAATTTGACTTATTTGTATTTTATTTAATTTAGACTTTATATTATTTTTTTAATTAAACCTTTTTTACATTTCTGAGTTAAACTTGACTTGAAAAAAAAGTTGAATCACATTTTGAAATGTTACTTAATTTTGACTTTTTACAATTCTTCGCCTTAATTGGCCGAAAAAGAAATTATTTTTCTCCAAAAATCTCGACTTAAATACGACTTTCGTTCCGCAAAATATTCTGACATAATTTACCCTAAATATAAAAAAATTATTCTCTCTAATAATACAACATTTTCTCCCAAGAACTGACTTTTTACTCCTCTAAAATGTTTAATATTAATTATTTCCTGCAGACGTTACCATGCAGGAGTCGACAGTCCCCGCTTCGTATCCGGCGCAAAGCATTCTGGGAGTTATAGTCTTCATGTCGAAGTAGGACTGACACTGAGAGAGAGAAATTATCCGGACCTCACCCTCCTGCAGCTTGAAGGGCACTAAATACACACACACACACACAGACAGACAGACAGACAGACAGACAGACAGACAGACAGACAGACAGACAGACAGACAGACAGACAGACAGACAGACAGACAGACACACACACACACACACACACACACACACACACACACACACACACACACACACACACACACACACACACACACA